TAAAAGGCAGTTGAGTCAGCAGCAGGGCTGCCATGGGAAGCAATGTTTGCTGAGGTGTGCTTTTGTGTCCCAGCTCTGCAATTCTTTTCCCTGTGGGAGCTCTCACAGTGCTATTTTGCTTTGGTTAATGGAGCATTTTGGATAACATATCTGAACTAATAAACCAGCTTATATATTTGCTTGCTTTTTCTTTAAGGCTTACTGTTTCTTGCTCAAGGGTTTTTGACTTCATTTAATGCTCTCTGCAAAATCCCTCCCTTCTCTGTATCCTCTGTAACTGACAGTTTGCCTCTTGCTGGGCTTTACAACTTGTTAGCTGATTTTTATTTTTAATTCCTTCGTTCCTGCTGTTGGTAGCTGCCGATCTTGATGCTTAAACTACGCTGCTGTCCCTTGATTGTCTTCCCTATACTGGTGTGAGATTGCTCATCTATAATTATTATATTCTGCTGTGCTTATTTTGCTTGAAATACTCTGATAAGGGTAGAAAAATACACGTGTACAAGAAGTCTTAAACTCCTGGATACAGTAATTTCACCCTCCTGGCCAGATCACATGTGGTGTCCACAAAGCCTCACAGATGCAACAATTCTGTGATGGATGCAGGGTGTGAATTAGAAACAGGCTTCCCCCGGGGACAGATTTCTGCATGATAATGATGGTATTTCTTGAACACTACTTTGGAGGATCCGTTTCTGACCCCTATTGGATGTGATGGTGGACTAGTCGTGCCTCTGATCTCCTTCAAGGTGGCGATTTCTAAACCACTGCTATCCCACCTCTACAAGCTCCTCTCCTAACTCGTGGTACAAAATCAGGACACAAGATTTTTGTTTGTGATGCTGTGCCTTACCTGTCCCTTTTATCTCGCAGTGCGTTTTCCTGTTCCCCATCATTTTATATTCTGAGAGTGCTTCTGTTTGACGTTCCCAAACTCAGTTCCTTGCTATGTCCCAGAGCAGTTGTGCTCTACAAAAGGACTGTCTGAAGGGAGCAGTCGTTCAGAGGCAATGTAGCCTGATGGAGCATGAGGTTTTGGATATGCTGTTGAATGAGGAGGTGCGGGTATACTAACTGTGAGCAGTGTTTCCTTACATCTAGGTGCCTTACCTCCAAATGGGATTCTCAGCCTTAAGCTGAGCATGCAAGGTAAATGGTATAGAGGGAGATGTGAAAAACCAGAAGGTGCCTGTCTTGGTCTATTTACTGCTTTGACCTTCCTCTGGAGATGGAACTTAGTGTTGGCTGTAATAGGGTCCAGAGGTAGCTCTGCCTTCACCCTTTTTGCCCCTTCTTTTAGGAGCTAGAACATTCAGTTGTGAGAAATCCAGTTTTTGTTCCTCCTCTGTCTTGAGTATTTAGGTATTAATTATTAGCAGTAAGAGGGACAGCTGAAAGGCCAGTCTCCCTTTGCTCGGGATGAACGCCATACACAGTGCACTTGCTGAACTAAGACTTGTGGTAGCCATTCTCTGCAAATGACTGGGAACAGCTTTAGGCGGGGCCACGATGGCAGAGCGATGTGGATTTTAAGCATCGATGGCAGATCGATGTGCATTTTAAGGATCTAAGCTTTGGCCCTAGATTTATAAAAGGACACCTAGGCAGTGCTCTGTAGTTGTGTTCTCCTCTGGCTTTAGTTCTGTGGGGACTGCACACTGACCAGAACACCCCTCACAGAGCTGTGGGTCTTAATTCTGCTTATGGAAAGGTAAGGTGCTCTTGCAAGACTATAGAATGACAGAAATTTCTAGGCTGGGGCTAGAGATTACCTGGACAGTGGTTTGTGCACTAAAAATGTTGCTGGATTTCCTCAAAATTGAACAGTAGCTGAAGAGACAGGCTCTCCCTGGTTTGCCATGTTTGCATTTGGCTTTTCAGTTTGGCAGCTGCTTAGCGTGTCCCTCTCTAAACAAATATCATAGTAATGAACCTTTGTTCTGTTGTAGGACTGAAAGGAACAGGTTATTTCTTGCAATTGTAGTATTCACTGATCACTTCAAGGCAGGGAGTAGATAGTAAGTGTCCTCTGTAGGATTAAGAGTGAGATGCAACATGGATGGATCCTGGTCATGATGCTGGCCTCTACTGAGTCAATTAGCAACATCTGTGTTTGGTATGAATGACTGTTGGGAAAATAGTTCTAAAAAATCTGTTAATCATCATAAAACAATTGATGAAAAGGAATTAAATATAGAAAATGTGTTTTTTAAACTTCATTTAGCCAGTCATGTACCAGAATAATTTCATACCTTTGATTGCTTGGACAGTTTCTGCATGCATATATTTTAATTTTTACATGAAACATGTTTAAGCATTTTTAATCTTAGAATGGTGTCTCTTTTTTTTTTTCTTTAATATCTAGTCAGGTAACTGAGAAGGAAATGCCTAGAGGCTTGTTCATTCTGTATATAATCGATACATAATAGCTTTATAGTTATAATTCTGCTCTGTTTTTTCAGGTTAGCACTTTTGTTTCTGTCTGACTCTGGCATCTGCACACCTGTGGTGGAGCGTGGCCCTGGGGTGAAACAGCTTGCCTAGACAGCATAGGCAGGACCTGACACCGAAAAGCAAACCTATGGGATTAGACTAAGTAGGAGCTGATTAATTCTGATCAACTACACTTTAAAACTGATGATGTCTCCTTCTGAGGAGGGGAATATTTATTGCAGAAAGATGAAGAAGAAACAGCACCAACTATGGCACGTGTCTTTACTCCACTTTTTAGAGAGATTAGCTATTAAAGCTTAAAACTGTCTTATTTGGGGAAGCTGCTTGTTCTCTCTTTTAGGTGGAAATCTTGGAGGAAGAGTAAGTACCTCTTCCACCAGATTGGAACATCCTGTCTGGGCTTCTAGTACAGTCAGATTTAAGCTTGGTTTTGTGATCCAGTTTCCTGAGGGCTTTCCTGCCACTTGCTCTTGAAGCTGCCTCTGGGGTGGGGAGCTGGAAGTGGACCTGTGCCCAGCCTTGGTGCTGGGTTGTTGGCTGTGAGGCAGGACAGGCCCAGCGGCTGCTGTGTGTTGTTGACAGGAGCTGCACATACTGTCTGCAAAGAAGCTGCTTGGTCAGACATGCAGAGAGGCCGAAGGATGGGAGTCTTCCCCTTGGACAGCTTGTGGAGCAGGATGGCTTGGAAGTACCTGTGTGGTCAAGTAGGTCCAGTCATGAGAAAATAGCAGTGCACAGGGCACCCTGGCTTGGGGCTGAGACACATGTCTTCTGTGGAGTGGCTTTAGGTTGCAGAAACAAACCCAGAGCCTTTGGGGGGGGGGAAAAAAATGTTCAGAAGCACATTTTGGGTAGCAGACCCGTCTCTTACAGTGGTGTTGGCTTGGCAGGGCAGCAGGCAGTTGGCACCTGATACCACCAGGTACAGGGTTGTTGACTTGCTTTTAAAAAGTAGTCTAGGCTGTTGAGTTTGTGAAGACAAATATTGTCTAGTTTCATTCTGCTGGGATGAAATTTCATGCTGGTGGCTGATAGTCCAATGGACTTTGAGCACTGTACACAAATACACACTTAAGTTTTATGGGCATTTTTCTTTAATTCTTTGAGATATGAAAAAGCCTAATCGGTTGGGAGAAGTTTCTCTTCTTTGTAGCCCAAATCCTGAGGACACACAATTGCATTTCAAGAAACTTACCAAGCAGCCGGCACTGAGATGAATTAATTAATTTTTAAGTAGGCCAGAGTCTCGGCTTGTGCAAACTGATGATAACAGACGGCACCACTTTGTAGGTGAGGCATGGCCTGAACGCAGAGGGGAAAAAGAGGACCTCCTTGTTGTCAGCGTGGCTCTAGCTTTCCAACTTCTGGCAAATTTTTTTGCTGTCTCTCCTGAGTTTGCCTGCCTGTATGGCAGAGATAATATTTTTTCAGTCCCTGGGGGAAGATCACATATGGGAAGGACTTTGAAGATAAAAAGCACTCTATACTAGTTATTACTGTTAGTTTTACATAAAACCAAAGCAAGTAGTGTTATCTAACTCTTATGCTGTGTATCTCCGAGCGATTCGTGCATA